ACACAACACAATGCCTTTATTTTTATGTGATGCTGAGAATTGAACCCAGGTCCTGCCCGTGCTAGGCGAGCACTCTACTGCTGAGCCACAAACCCAGCCCCTAGCCTAGTCTTTAACCCGTTGAAAACAGGATTCATGTGTTCTATGAGGCCAGCCTTGTCTTGCCCTATTTGCTGATTGGCCAGGCCCTGCCTGTTTTGCTAGGCCTAGCCCAGTCCTACATCCCTTAAAAATGAAACAGTTATATCTCACCTTAACACCTTCTGCAGGAATGCCTGAGGCCCACCTTCGTGGGGTCACACTTGAGCCCTGATTCTCTAGAATGTCTACTCCTGCTGTGAACTCTCCCTTGATGGTGCCACATGTTAATTTCAGAGTTTCCTGGGTCAGCAGGAGACACCTGCTTTCCCTAGGCCTTTAGCCCTAGAGTTTCACCTCCTCCTGGATTATCCCAAGTCAGGTTAGTGCCACAAGGAGCCCCTACAAGGCTCTGGTCAGCCCTGCCCCATGCAACCCTTCTCAATTCAGTGACTGGGGCTCAAGGCTCATCACTGCAAAAGCCCCCCAAACACAAGTCAGTTTCAGATACTTTCTCTTCTTTAGACACTTCTTCTCACAGGAACACAAAACTAGACCTATCCTACCTCATAGGCCTGAGTATGGGGCTGTCCTCCCTGGTCCTCCAAGGCCCCTGTCCACCAGAGGCAGCACTCAGGCCTCACCTTTGTCTTTGTCAAGGGGACAGCCAACTCCACCTCCTGGGTACTTCCCTCTCAGCCCCAAACTCAGATCTGCCACCCCATTCTCTCCAGACACATGTGCTTAAGGCTTCTTCGGAGCCTCACGCTAAGACCTCCCTAGACACAAACCCCCCACCAGCAGCCAAATGCCCCGGAAACACATCCTAGAATCTGCTTCTTTCTATACATGGGGTCCTCGAGGAGCTCAGAACAGAAAACAATGGATGGCATCCCAGGCCACCTGGCATGGGTCCCCGGGGATGTCTGTGTCCCCAGTTGGCAGCTGGTTCCCAAGGAGCCCCCCACCCAGGTCACCCAGGAGATGACACCATGTTGGCCTGTGGAGAAAGTCCTGCCTTGAGGGGTCAGCCTTCATTCCCCTTCCTGCTGCCAGGCAGGCTGACACACCTAAGGCCTTATCCTTACCCTCTGGCCTCCTCCCCTCCTGGATGGAGCATGCCTCTTACCTTCACACCCTCTAGCACTGGAGCAATATCCTTCAGGGCCTCTGCAGGCAGGATCACATCAGGCACCTCTGGCTTTGGCTCAACCACTGGCCTCCCAGGGGTGGCAGCTTCCACTCCTTCCAGCTCAATGTCCTTCTAGAAGAATCACAGGAAGAACCTTGCTGTCACACCAGCACTCTTGCATGCATATGCTACTAACAGAGGCCAAACTCGGAACGAGTCCATTAGGTCACAGTGGAGACCCAAGAGCCATTAACCAGCAGCAGACTACCTGCTGAAGTCTGAGCAAGGCACCTGAGGCCCCTCAACAGGGTGGTCAGAGTGCCTTGTTCTGTATTGGTCTTTCCTCACTACCTTTCCATGGTGCTCAACACTTGTAGAGCAGGAGGCTGCCTGTGGGTGGGTGATGAACAACCCAGAACATCCCAAGCCCTTGTCACAGTGCATCTTCCTGCAGCCTCTGAGTCCAGGGAAAACAAATTTGGTCTCTGCCCAAGGCCAGCACCCTGAGAAGGTGGGTTCCACAATGACCCTCTGCCGGTGCTGAGTGGGCCTCCCTGCAGTTCCCTGACTACTTCAGAAGACAAGCAAGGACATGAAGGGGTTTCCAGGGAAGCTGGACCAGGACAGCCACAGCCCCCAGTGGTGGGTCCTGGTCAGTGCTTACTGCTGCCTCTGCGGCCCTCTGCAGTTCCTTCTCCCGGTGCTCCTGCTGGATGGCGGCCTCTTCCTGCAGCGTGGCCTCCAGTTTTGCTTTGTTGTCCACCTGCTCACCCTCCACCTCTGCCACCTTCATCTGGGCTTCCTTTGCCTTCAGAGAAGAAGGGCACTTGTGAGTGAGTCCCAGGGCTGCAGAGTACACACTGTCCCAGGCCTCTCTGTATCTCCCAGCAACGTCATCATCTGAACTCCACAGAAGTGATGGAAGGCATACTGAAACATTGCCACCAGTGCTGGGAATGTACAAGGCTACCAAGTATTACCTCCTGCACCTTTCAGAGGACCACTCCATATTCAGAAAAAATATGGACACAGGCACCATTACCAAGACTCAAGGAAGCCTTTCAAAACTGTTGCCTCCAGCCAACTGTGGCAAGATCAGACTACTCAGTGTGCCCAAGACTGGCTTATCCCAAGCCAGGTGTGGTGGGTGGGGGTGGGGGCAGGCAGACAAGTGATGAGGCGAGAACAGGTGGACCTGCAGGTTCCTGCATGGAAGGCTTCCGTGGCTTAGAAGATGAGTGCCCGCCCCCCAAGTGAACTGACAAACAGGGTCTCCCAAGAGCACATACCACAATTTCCGGGAGGGTTTGCAGTGTGGATTTGAGCTGGTCAGCAGGCGAGAGAGTGTCTGGGAGGTACATGGCTCGGGACAGGATGAGCAGTGACGTGGGGATCTCGTGGTGCAGGTGCAGGTCCAGCCACTGGGATCAGAACAGGCTTGTTGGTGTAGCCTCCATCCCACCTGACCCCTGGCCCTATCCTGTTCTCTTGTGAAGGGCCCAGATCCTTCAGTCCCCAAGCTTTACTCTGCTGCTATGGTTTGGCAGCAACAAGCAAAACAGGGCTTGAGTAGATGGATTCATTAAGTCACTGTAACAAATGCTCCAAAGATGACATTCCATGTTTCAAAAGGTCATTTGTTGTGCTACCTTGGAACTTGACCACCCTGGTAAACTGAAGGCACAAGCCCAAGGGCCATCAACAGCTCTGCAGCTCCATCACCAGGACTTAAGAACAGTCAACAGGCTGGGGTTGTGGCTCAGTGGTATGTATAGTGCTTGCTTGGCAGGTGCGAGGAACTGGGTTCGTTCTCAGCACCACATAAAAATAAAGTACACAATTTGATGGTTTTTTTTTTTTTAAAAAAAAGAACAGTCAGCACTCTCTGTATTTAGAAATAGCAGAGCAGCAAAGATGGAATTACTGAGAACCTCCCCACTCATGCAGGAGCAGAGACTGACCCCATTCATGTGTGTGTAGGCCTGCCACAGGCTGGGCACTGTGTCGGGCTACTTCAGTGACTGACATTTGGACACAAACTGAACACACAGAGAAAGATAAGACAAAATGCTAAGAACAGGATGAAAACACTGAACAGAGGCAAGGGAGAGCCCTGACCCCAAAACATGCTATAGCCTCATGGACCACACTGAGGAGCCTGGGCAGGGAATACACACACAGCACCCCACTCGAATGGCTCCAGGCAGCTGTGCTGCAGAAGGCTGAAGACCACCAGAAATGGCCAGCACATGCAGGGTGGGCCCACTACCAGACAGGAGTTCTGCTGGGGAGCCATGCATCTGGTGAGAAGGTACTGCCTAGGAAATGCCATTTACGTCAAGAGGGGAGGTAGGTGTGCATGCCTCTTCATCTACATTGAAGAAGGAATGCCTGAAAACCAGCAGAGGTATGACAGCCAAGAAGCTGTCATCGTGGAACAGAGCTGGAGGGAGATTGGGTCTGAGCCTGGCATCCTAGGCCTTCTGAAGCAAAGGACAAATGTCCCCTACTCCCTGTACAGTCACTTGATCCAATGGCACTGAGCACCAAAGACCTGACATTGGGATTTCTGCTGGAGGGCCCCTTGAGCTGCTGCAGGAGGCAGAGTGCACTGAAATCCAAATGTAGGAGCCCACTGTGTACCAGACACCTGTTCAGAGTTGCCCAGCCAAGGGCATCAGAGCCAGATTAGAGAGCATGTTTCCCAGAACTTCCCAGGCTCAGCTGAGCCATCACGAAGTGTGAACATGCCCCAGAGCTGTCCAAGGAGGCCACCTGTGCTCACTGGCCTTCAGGTGACAGGAGCAAGCTGAAACAATCAAAGCCACACTCAACAGGCCACCAAAATTGAGGACACTCATACTGCACGACAGCAGGACTAGAAGGCCAGTAAGCAGTCCCGGACTGGCCCAGGCACCCCCTTGGGTTACAGTGCCACCTCACCAGGCCTGCTTGACAGCCCAGAGGATGGCAAAGGCCCAAGCGAGTCTTAGAGGGCCTTGAACATGCCAGGCAAGCACTCCCCCACTGAGCCACACCCCAGCCTCAGTAGTTTTTCACTCTTGAAGCTTCCCACAACAGGCCTATTCTGGTCTGGGTGAAAAGCGAGCTCCTCCTGGAACTTGGGCCCCAGGCCACGCACCTGCTTCAACTGGCCCCGCAAACGGTCTTCTGTGACGCCAAGGGCCCGCATGCCTCGCGCCCGACACGCTGCCTGCAGTTCCTTGACGTTCAGGCTGTCCACCCCTTCCTCAGCAATCAGCTGTAAGAGAACACCAGCCAGTCACCATTGTACAAGGTTTGTGGTGCTGCTGTTAACACGACTAGAAAAGAACTGTCAAGTCAGAGGCCATTTTTCTAAGAGCTTTTGCCAAGCAAAAGACAGAGCATCACACCAGAGCCTGGTTCTGGGTCTGAAGTGACTAGAAGGATGGCCAGGACCCAGGGAACACAGAATGGCCAAGATTAACCGAGAGACACAGAGAGATCCACCTCGACCTGGGCCCACGCAGGGAGTAGGCACTCTCAACACGCGGGCACCTCTTCCGTGTGGCAGGGCCCACGTCTTGCCAGCAGAACCTGTCCTGCCCTGGCCTGATTCACAGAGCCCGCGATCTGCAAAGGCATTCTCAGTGTTCACAGGATGGAGGGAGGAGAGACCCCAACACCCTGAAGATACCTGTGGCTTCATACCCTGAGGCTGCACAAGTCACAGAGAAGTATAGGAAGCAACAGGTGGGAAGACAGAAGACACAAGGCCAGCTCTCAGGGCCCACCTGGTCTGCGTCAGGTAGCCCTAGCCCCTTCTCAGCGTTTGCCTCATAAACATCCTAGGTAGCAACTTTATCTCCATTGTAAGAATCATACTTTCTGTGATCATTGTAGATACACATGTAGCTCTAACAAAGAACAATGACCCCACGTGCCTTCCCTGGGAGTCCTAGCGGTAACAGTTTATAAAGCAACACAACATTCTAGCCAGGATCCAATTCTGCTCCAGGCAGGATGAAGTCACCTCCACCCGCTCGAGGGCCCTCACTTGCATGGCTGTCACTTGTCAACTAAAGAATGTCATGTTCATGGGGATCATAGGACAGAAGCCACCCTACCCCAAGACAGCCCCTGCTTGCATGGCTGTCATCTGAAGAACGTTAGGCATGTGGTGATCGTAATGCAGGCAGCTTCTAGAGTTCCCTCCAGACCCATCCAATTGTTGTGGCATCCAAGACAGCTCCTCCTAATCATTGAATAGCATGGCACTAGATGGACAGAGAAGTCTGCTCAGCCATTCGCCTACCTGGGTTGTGTCCACTTGGTCTACTGTGACTAAAGCTGGTTTTCACTTCTGTCTGTTCCCTGTGCTCCTGTGGGACACCCGAGTTGTACTTCTGGAGCATTTTCAGCAGTCCCCTAGTATCACAGTGCACACACCCCAATCCACTCTCCTGCTGATTCAAGTAGAGTGTAGAAACCTCACCTCCCTTTACTTCTCCCAGTCATAGTAGTGATGCTTGGAATGCTGCCTGTCCTCAACCTAAGAGTCACACCACATGTGCTTCAGTCCCCATCCCACTCTAGGTGGGACCTTCATAAGCTGCGATTAGAGTGTTCAAGAAAACAAAGCGAGCTAGGTGCAGTAGCCACGCCTGTAATCCTAGTGACTCAGGAGGCTGAGGAGGAGAATCACAAGTTCAACGCTAGCCTGGGCAACTTAGTGGCCTCTCTAAAGCAACATAGAAGGGGTGAAGTTATAGCTCAATGGCAGAGCACCCCTAAGTTCAATCAATATAAATACTGCAAAAAAGAAAAAATTGGAAAAAAAAAAAAAAAAGAATTTCTATGGTTGAAAGTTAGAGGTCACACAATGGGTATTAGAGTGGAGCCAACCCGGGAGAGAATGAGGGATGAGTGACCTGAAAGCAGAAGCAAGCACAGTGGTTGAGAGGCTAAGATGCCTGACGCACAGTGGGTGCAGGTACACTCAGGGAGCACACCCTGCGAAGGAAGCTGCAGAGGAAAGCTACCCTCTGCAAAACAATGGCAGGCCTGCTGACTGTCCTGGGGGAAGCCAGGAGAAGGGCTTGGGGACGTGTAGGAAGCCACAGTGCAGCCCAGGGCAAGGGACAGAGGCAGGAGAACCACACGTTCAAAGCCAGCCTGGACAACCTGCCTCAAAATTTTAAAAAAATATTTAAAGGGCTGGGGACAAAGCTCAGTGACTTAAGCACTTGCCTAGATGCTTGAGGCCCTGGGTGCTATCCCAATACCCCAACATATGAACATGCAGAATAGGTATGTATTGAACATCACATGGCACTCCACAAATTTGTTAAACCTTTACATTTATATATATATACACATACATCAGTTAAAGAAAAAAGGAACAGAAAGGCAAGAAACCAAAGAAGCAGAGTGGTCCGCGTGGCCTTTCTTGTGGCATGGCTCACCTTGTCATCAGCCTTTATGGACCTTAGCCTCATGGTGAGCTGGAAGCGCAGAAAGTTGTTGGTGCCGATGGATTGGAGTTCCAGCAGCCTGCACAGTGCCACCAGTTGCGGTCGTGTGAGGTTATCCAGAGTCAGCTCATCCTCAAACAATTTGGAAAACCGCATGATTTCCTCATTGCTGGGTCTTTCTCCTGTCTCCCGGATCTGCAGCAGGAGCAACCCAGATGGCTTATCCACTTGGTAAGTTCTAAGAGCTCTCCTGTCCCCACCCCAGTCTCAGGACACAGCAGAAGTGAAGAACCAAGGGGGGGTCAGGGTGCAGAGGCCCTGGACCACCCACCTCTTACCATACTTCTATGGGGAGCCTCTCACACCTCAGGAACTCAGTGTCAACTGAGCCTGCCATGGATTCTGATACACACGGCAACTACTGGCCCTGTACCTTTCCTGCCACCATTCACTGGGAAAGGGGACCTAACCACCAATTGCAGAGGCAGTGCCCTGGGTCCTAATGCAGAACCCCAGCTGCTCAGTGCTGAGAAGAGGGCACAGCTGTGTGCACCTGCTTTTCCCTCTGAGAGAGTCCAAGTACAGGGGAATGGGCTGCCACTTGAGCCTGGACTGCTACTATCCATGTGCCTGCCCTCTAGGAAGCAGAGAACCTCAGTTCAGACCAGTCTGGCCCGCACCTCCTCCCATATAACAGATAGGCTTAGTCTCTATCAGGAGTGAGCTGGGCTGGTCCCCAACAGAGGTCAGGGAGTAGAACAGCCAGACCTGGCACCCCCAGGAGCTTGACTCAGATCAAAAGGACCCAGACTGAGCCACACAGGATATCACCTAGAAACAGTTTCAGGGGTTCTCCAGGGGGAAGGCCAAATGCAGCATCCCTCAACCCAGGCTACCACAGGCAGGTCCTTCTCTGGAGCTGCAGCCCACCAGAAGCCCCACCTCCCTTCTACCTCCCACTTGTCCCCACCCTCTCCTGGGCCTCTAAAGTGCGGCTGCTTGCAGCTCCTTGCAGAACCTACCTACTCAATGGTTCCATAGCTATACCTGCCTCTTCCCCAAAGATGACATCTCCAAGGTTGCGCTGGGGTGAGCACACTTTTCTGTAAAGGCCACAGAGCAGGTATTTCTGCCTTTGTAGCTGCAGACTTTGCTCCTCTGTGCTGCAGTGCAAAGCACCAAACAACACATAAGCAAGGGCCAAAGCCCAATGACACTGTCTGGTGGAGGCTTTCTGAGAACCTCAGACACAGTCTTTTTGCCCTATTTTGTATTTTATTTAGAGACAGGGTTTCACTGAGTTACTGAGGCTGGCTTTGAACCTGTGATCCTCCCTGCCTCAGCCTTCCAAGCTGCTGTGCGCCACGGCACCTAGCTTCAGACAGTCTTCAGACTTCAAAAAGCAACACAAATCTCTCAAGCTCGACCCCAGAGACCCTGTCGATAGCACTCCCTCTCCCTTTTCAGCTCCTGCTGCCGTCACCCAGGCTCTGACAAGACTCTAGGTAGCACCAGGCAGAGTGGCTCAGCCAAACTACCCACCATACCATAATCTCAGGTCTTGGGTTCCTTGTCTATGATGTTCTCCCTTCTCTGAGTGCTGCAAAGCCAGGACATGAACAAGTGATTCTGGAGACCAGCAGAGTCTCCTTGTCAAACTCCCTAAAGCACCAGCCAGCACTGCCTGGCAGCTCCGCTCTGCTGAGTGTAGCCAAAAGGAAGGAAGAGAAGGGAGGAAGCAGCTGCCAAGGCCGGAGTGCTCTGCAGCTCCACCTAGCCTTGGACTGATGGAGAGTCCACGGGGCTGAGGCACACAGCACCTTCTGGAAAAATGCAGAGAAGTCTTTGGTGGCGTTTCCCTTGGCTGCCTTGTTCTTCAGGGCCATCTCCTCAATCGTGTCTTGTAGGAACTTGGCCAGCTCCAGCTTGACCCGTAGCTCCTTCTTCAGCCTCTCCTCCTGCAAGGGCAGAGAGAGGGCTGGGCAGAGAAAGGGCTGGGCTTGACCTGGCCCGCTGCCCTCCCGCATCCCACCAGCTCCCTCTACTCCAGGCCACAGCTCCAGGAGCCTCCTCCAACTGCCATCACCCCTGTAAAACAAACATCTCACACTTCCATCAGGCTCCCCCAAGCTCCCCAAGCTCTAATACACATTTCGTACAACAATGCTTATTCTCATCTAAGTGCAATACATTCTGAAACAATCTCTTCTATTTCATGGCTTTAAAAATATATACATCTTTGTGTGACTCCCTAGAGCAGGGGTTGGCAGGCATGTTCTTCACTGCCAGACAGTGAAGCTAACACAACCACTTCACTCAAAGGGGCCTCACAGAGGCTCCCAGACAGAACACACATGACAGGGTATGGAGGACCCTGAGCCTTTGTGGATGACAAGACACCTCATCCTCATGTGATAGTCACAAGCAACATGGCTCTGGTGAGGAACTTCAGACTCATTTTTAAACGTGCTTATGACCATGATGTCCTCACCTTGATGGACTGGGTCTCAAAGGTGGATGGCAGCATGTTGGGGAAGAGCTTCACGGCCACAGGCAGCAGAAACTCCATAAAAGGTACCACCACGAAGACCAGGAAAGGGACCAGTCTGAAGAGGTCAGCACAGATCCGGAGAAACTGGAGAGAGGAGATCTCTATCAGCGGGGGCAGAGAAAGATGCGAGCAGGAGCAAACAGTGGGAGCATTTCTGTCATCACTTACAAGGACAACCATGGGCTTTGGCTCAGGATCTCCAAGTTCCAAAACCACTTAGCAGATATCTCCTGAAACCCATTTCTTTCTTGACAGTCAAAACCACATGCCAAGCATGCTTGTGATCCCAGCTACTCGTGCCAGGCTGAGGTGGGAGGATCACAAGTTCCATCCTAAGCAAGACCCCATCTCAAAATAAAATAAAAAGGAATAGGAATGTAGCTCAGTGGTAGAGCACCTGCCCTAGCATGAGGCAGGCTCTGGGTTCAATCTCCAGCACCACAAAACAAAACAGCACATCCCTACCACCACCCAAATCTACATGCCAATTGTCTTCGGAAAGTGGTATATGGGGGTAGCTCACAGGCCAGGTACACTTGGCACGTGTCATAGAGAGACAATGAAAGGCCCAAAAAATATCTCTGATAGAACACACATTGACTGCTCCATTGTGAGCCAGCCACTGAGGGGGACACCCCAGGCTTACAAAGATAGGTCTCCTCCCCACACTGGTGCTCCAGAGCTCTTCCCCATCTCTGTACCTGCCACCTGAAGCCAGAGAGAAGCCTGCTTTCTTGTACTCCCATGCTCTTTATTATTCAAAAAGACTCATGGATTCCTTTATCTTTTCACTTGCTCTCACTCTCAAATTGTCCCAGTCTGGACAGGGGCATATCCTTCAAGATGGTACTCATTTTGTCTTGATTTTGCTTTTTTTTTGGTATTCCCCATTAGTTTTAAATACTGGGGTTAAAGCAGTATTTTACCACTCAGGTAAAATTTGCATACCACAGCATTCATCAAGTTGTAAGTGTACAACTCAGGGATTCGTGGTAAATTTACAGATTCCATTGAAACCACCACCCAAACACAGATTTATATTTTCACATGCCAGAAAGCCCCAAGTGTTCAGCAAGGATAACTCCATTTTGCTCTACAAAATGGACATATTCTCTCTGGACATTCCAGGTATGTGCAGCACACTGAGCTCTTCTGCACCTGGCTTCTGGGATGAGGTGCACCTTCCCTCCCTGCTCCCAGTGCAGCTGCTCTGAAGTCCTCTTTGTCTGGCCAGGGCTAGCCAGTGTGCCTTCTCTGTTCTTGACTTCTTCCAGTCTGTTTGGGTTGTGTATTTTGAGGGAGCTCCCAGTCTGCGTGTACCCTGCTCAAGCTGAGCAGCTCCTCACGATAAAGCAGGAAATCATCTGATCATCTAATGCAGATGCAGACGATGCATCATCTGATGCAAAAGAGCACCTGATGAAAATGTGTCTTTTCCTGATAATTTTACAAAAGCTGCTCAAAACTAATAACTGATATGATACATCTGCAAAATAATCCTAATGGCTCAAAAGGCTGAAGCAAGAGGATTGCCAAGTTTGAGGCCCTAAGCAACTTAGTAAAATTAAGTTGAGACTCACTAAATTTTAGGCTCAGAATAAAAAAAATTTAAGGTTGAGGATATGGCTTAGTGGCAAAGCATCCCGGGTTCAATCCCCTGTAGTTAAAAAAAGGGGGGCGGGGCAGTGGCACATGCCTATCATCCCAGTGGCTTAGAAGGCTAAGGCAGGAGGATCGCAAGTTCAAAGCCAGCCTCAGCAATGGCAAGGCACCAAGTAATTCAGTAAGACCCTGTCTCTAATTAAAATATTAAATAGGGCTGGGGATGTGGCCCAGTAGTCAAGTGCCCCTGAGCTCAATGCTAGGTGAGATAAGCTAGACACAAGGTCAAATTTTGTGATTCCACTAATGGGAGGAAACTAGAATCCTCAATTCCAGAGCCAGGAAGTGCAGTAGTGGCTGCCAGGCAGCTGCTTGAACAGCATCTCATGTTCTGCTCTGGCATGGTCACTTGTGTCCTAGAGGCTCAGAAACCCACCTTTTCCTGCTGGTCTCTGTAAGGCCCTGGTTCTCAAAACCAGAGTCCCAAATGACTCCCCAAATGCAGCTATTCTATACTGACCCTCTAGGCTTATCTGTTATCCTCTACTCAACACTATGAGCAAGTACCCAACAGTGACATGTGAGTAGTCACACACTTCAAATGTCTTCCACTTAAAACAATGTTCATGGGGCTGGGGCTGTAGCTCTGTGGCAGAGTGCTTGCCTAGCACATGTGAGGCACTGGGTTTTATCCTCAGCACCACATAGAAATAAATAAACAAACCCATAACACTTTGCTCAAATCAAAATTACCTATGAGATCCTAGGAAAATCCAGACAGGCTCTACAGACCCTCTCCTTAGTGCAAGTCACAGGGGACCTGGCCCCCAGCCCCACATTCCTGCTGACACCTGTCTGGTCTTTATGTGGCTGTTCCAAAGTGCCTCCCCCTCTTTTTCCTTTAAGACTCATCTTTTTCAGTGAAACAGCAAAACTGGAACTCAGGCAGAATGGGAAGGTAGAGGAGATGGAGGGGGCCAGGCCACAAAGCAAGGGCTTACTCATTAAGCACCTGACACATGCTAGCAGGGTAGCTCTGAAGCTCTAGTGTGACCCTCTCCTGTAAATGATCCCTCTGCTCCCTTCCAAATTAGCACCCTGTGAAAAATTCCAGCCAGGTAAACAAAATAAAACAAAACCCTCTGTTCTCAATGAAGTATAGAATTAGAAGCTGGAATTACTCTCTTCAGGAACAACTCCCAAGGTCATCAGGTAAAGTGCTCCTCTGCTCACTGTGGAAGGCTTTGTTGCCCAATTCTGGGCAGACTGTCCGAGCAAAGGAATTCTGCATCTTTCCTTGGCTGCTCTAAGCAACTTAGTAAAGTCTCAACTTAATTTTAGTAAGTTGTTTAGGGCCACTGCTAACACCTGGGAACACGCTCAATAGAGAGGAACTGGAAAAAAGAAGGAAAGAGAGCATGGACTATGACTTCACTTACTTCACAAAGAACAAAAGGCCTGTGGCATAACCATTAACTCGAACACTCTGCTTTGGAAGAAGGGTTTCTATGAGAGATCAAGTCACCACTGGGCATGCGAGAAGTCCAGAGGAGAGGGGCAACCCATCTGCCACAGCCTCCTGACCTTGGTCCCTTCCTTTTGGTCATGGTTGTAGGGAATGCCCGGATGCTAAGTCAGGGTGGGGAAGCTCTCCTACCCCTGATGCTGCAGAAACACTGTGCCTGCAGGCTCACACTACAGACATTGGCAACAAAAAACTGTTTGTGAGATCATCCCACTCTTATGCCTGCCCGGTGCCAGCCAAAAATTAAAGCCAGGGTCACAGCACCTCTGAAACCCCACGCTTTCAGGCACATTTTAACACCAAGATGCTTGATGTCCAGTTAGAACGGGCTGAATTTATCCATCAGAACATATATTTCAAACAATGCTTGCATATTTTTTTAAAAGAAAACTTTTTGCAAAACAGAGCAATAAAATAACTTTTTAAGCATTTATAAACACAAAAGCAGAATTACAAGTACTTGCTATATGGCACATTTAAGCACAATTATCTTTAAAAAGGCAGAGGATGATTTAAACATTATACAATGTGTATGTGTATTGAAACATCACATGGACTTCCTAAATAGGCATAATTTTTGCTTTTATGTATCAATTTTAAAAATACATGTTTTTCAGAAAAGATCAAAGATACTGCTAAAACATGGATAGGATTCAAACATGAGACCTGAAACAATAAGCTAGTTTCCTATCACAGGCAGACAGGAGAACAAATATTCCAAATCAATACATGGACACACACTCCAAAGGAGATGAGATATGGAGGTGCCAATGGACTGAGAAACCAAAATCCCTTTTCTTGCCCTTGTACCCTGCTGGAGAGCCAGGAAGAATTACTGGCATCCAAATGCTCACACCAGAAGACTAGAGGCCTCAGGTTCCTGGTGAAAGAGTCTGTGTGCCTGAGCTCCCACCCCAAGTTGTATCACCAAGCTCATGAGGACTCCCCTGCTACGTGGACACACAGCTGACAAATACCCAAAATCCTTATCAGTTATCATTTTACAAATGCCCACCTCAGTTGCAGGCATAAACCATTTTCTATTTCTGCAAGCCCAATGCCCAACTGCTGGAGATAGCTGGACGGGAAGGAACATGCAGACACTTGGCTGCACTTGTCAGTGGAAGGCCCTGAGGTCCTGTGTATCTGGAGTGGTCTCGTGTTTCACATGAGAGGTTTCAGAGTGGAGCCTGTTGGCACAAAGGCTCCAAGACATACCGAGAATTAGCTATGGGGCAGCAAGCCTACACAGGAAGAATACAGGAAGCAGGGTCAGGGCGAGGGTGGAGCATGTGGCAGGATAGTTTCTGGGAAGGCTCTGGCTTCAACCAGGGAAAGGGGCCCACAGAGCACTGAGCTTCAGCCCACTTCCCATTTTTTTTGGTATAGGGATTGTACCCAGGGACACTTAACCATTAAGCCACATCCCCAGCCCTTTCCATATTTTATTTAGAGAGAGGGCCTCACTGAGTCGTTAGGGCCTTGCTAAATTGCTGAGGCTGGCTGTGAACTAGCTATTCTCTTGCCTCAGCCTCCCCAGCTGCCGCTGGGATTACAGGCATACACCACCACACCCTGCCTACTTCTGTTTTAAAAGGACTGTTGTTGTAAAAGCATGGAGACAGACTGCAGGGCTCGTAGGCCACAGTTTCGGGCAGGATGGGTGGTGGGGTGGGGAGCACTCAGACTAGGGCTGCTATAGAACAATGTAGGTGTTGGGAGCTGCCAAGGCTTTGGCCTAAGTGCCAGCGAGGGTGGGCTGCCATGCTGAACTGATGGCAGCTGGAGGCCGCCAAGAGATATTCAGGAATAGGCAGGGGGAAGACTGGGGTTTGTTTCAGACATGCATGCTCCGAGTGGATCTCTGAGACCACACATGGGGAAAGAGCAATAGGGCAGTGGGATGTAAGCAGCACAGGGGCAGGGCCCAGGCTGGACACACATGGGGGTATCAGCCACAGGGGCAGAGCTGAGTGATTGGACCTGCTTTCCTTGGTCCTCAGGGCAGAGGGTGCTATGCAAGGAGGCACCAGGCAGACGTCATCTGGGCCACACGACCAATGATCCCTGAGGTATCTCACTGACCCTAGTGGGAGGTGACAAAGGCACTTGCTGACCAGGAAACAATGCAAGACAAGCCCCGGGTCTACACTACCAGACACCAGCCAGTGTGCCCTACTGTAGGGCCATCCCAGACAAGAAGGGCCTCAGGAGCAGCATGGGGTCCTGTACCAGAGAAAGGAAGTTGCCCAGAAAGTGGAAACAGAATCAAGCCTGGGTCAGGAGTAAGGGGCTGAGCTGTGACCAGTTACCAAGACAAGCATTTGGTGAGCTGGGGCAGATGATTTGGGACTCTGCAGGATCTCTGCAACTTCCCTATAGACGAAAATCATCCCAAAGTTAAAGGTTTATTTAAAAATTAATAAATAGTGGGGACCACAAAAGGTAATGGGAACTCCCAGAAGCTGGGAACAATGAAGTGCTCTTGGGAGGAAAGACTGAGCAAGCAGGAGAAGCTGTACCTGGAGGGGGATCTCACACAGGCTCCCTCCATGGCCTCTAAGATCCCACAGCTCCCACTGCACCACAGGGGCGAATGCAACATCCACACTGGAGAAGCTGACTCAACACACAGACTGCACAGGGTTCCCATGGACAAGACCATGCTGCAGATGAACTGACAGTTCAAAATCACAAAACACACATCATTCACTGTAGCCAAGGTCCACAATAAAGAGCAAGATTCATCTCCCACAAAAGTAAGAAAATGAAAATACTGAATTCATGCCAGGAGACAAATGTAAGTATACTTAAAATTGTAAATAAGTACACTTTAAATTGTTGAAGACTTAAAAAGATGAACTAAAAACAAAAAACCAAAAAAATAAACAAAAGCCTATCAAGAGATGGACATTATCATCCAAAGTACATGTATAAAGATGTGAATGGTGTGAATATACTTTGTATACAACCAGAGATATGAAAAATTGTGCTCTATATGTGTAATAAGAATTGTAATGCATTCTGCTATCATATATAAATTAAAAAAATCAAAAAACTCAAAACTTAATAGAACTTCTAGAGGTAAAAATATGAGCATTGAAAAGAAAACTAACAGATGCATTAAAAGATTATTTTAGCTGAAAAAAGAATGAACAAGATAGAAAAGAAGTATTTAGGTGGCAGCCCTGAGAGACAAAGATAGACAACAGGAAAAGGGTACAGAGTTGCATGCCTATAATCCCAGTGACATGGGAGGCTGAGACAGGAGGATCCCAAATTCTAGACCAGCCTGGGCAAATAGTAAAGCCTTAAGCAACTTAGTGAGACCCTGTCTCAAAATAAAAAGGGCCGGGGATGTAGCTCATTGGTAAAGTACCCCTGGGTTTAATCCCCAGAACAAAAAAAAAAGAGTGACAATGGTAAGAGTCTTTACCTTTTTTGTAGTGGCAATTGAGCCCAGGGGTGTTCTACCTCTGAGCTACATCCCCAGGCCTTTTATGAAACTTTTATTTTGAAACAAAGTCTTGCTAAGTTTACTAAGTTGCCCAGGTCAGTCTCAGACTTACAAACCTCTTGCCTCAGCCTCTGGAGTTGATGAATTACAGGTTTGCACCACTGTGTCCATCTTGCTTTTTTGGAAATGGGAGTCTGGCCTCCAACTACTGGGCTCAAGTGATCCTCCCCATCTCAGCCTTCTGAGCAGCTGGGACCACAGACATGCACCACCATGCCCTGTTTAGGAAGAACTTCCTTGGAGCCAGGACTAAAGGAGTGGTGTAAATGCCAGCAAGACTTCTGACAGTCCAGAATAGATGTCGATCAGTAAAGAGACACTTCCCCAGAGGAACACCGTGGCACTGGGGGAGAAGAGCCACAGCCACACAGTGTGGACTTTTCAAGGAACAGCAAGGAGGCACTGGGAGGGAACTGGGTGCTGGTACTGAGGTCCTGTCACAATTTGATGGTGGTATTATGGGGATGTCCCCACTTTTGTAGATTTATATTTAGCTATCAATGTACCTTTATTTATTTATTTTTTTTGTGGTGCTAAGAATCGAACCCTAGACAAGCACTCTACCACTGAGCCACAACCCCAGCCCCGTTTCAGAGGTTTTACTGATATTTTCCTCACCCAAAGCAGCAGAAAGCAAGTCCCAACGAGGTTTTGAAAGCAATCTCTGGGTGAAGCCAAGAGCTTGGTGTGTCCCCTTTACCTGCCTGCGCTCCCGGCGGGTCAGGGTGTGGCCGTTGAGGATGCGCCAGAGCATGCGTGCTGCAATCTTGGTATCAATCCAGAGCAAACGGAAGCCATGGTAGTAATGCTTCAGCTCATCCAACACCTTCTGCCCAAGAGACTTCTTCACCACCACCTCAGCTGGTGGGCTGTACACAGGGCCACCTTCCTCCAGCTTCTTATTCTTGTCCTTTAAGGATTTGAGGGACTTCTCCACCACAGAATCATCACTAAGGGGGGGTGATGAGTGCCAGCCTCGAATAGAAAGGTACTGAGGTCCCGTAACAACCAAGCCTGCTGAAGTGGGGGTCCATGGCACTCTTGCTGCTGTGCGTGGGTGCTTGGGCCTCAAAGTCCAAACACTGAGGGGCTCATCTCTGAAGCAGAGGTACACAGGGTGGGCTGGAAAGCAGCAGCCAGATGGAATATTCCTTGAAAAAGGAAAAAGGGAAAATGGCAATGAGGAGCCAGCTGCAGTCTGTGGCTGCCCAGCAGCACAGAGAATCACAACCATGCACTAAATCCCACGTACTTCCTGAGACCTGAGACCCCCAGGAACCCTTAGGAGGGCTTGGGCATAATAGCAGAATGATGTGTGTCCCCAGGTGGGCCTGTTCCACATCCACCAGTATCTAGGTTCACAGGTCCCTAGAGAGATATAACAGCAGGACAGACATGCATAGAGTGGCATAGTGACCCCAGGACTCAACCCAACCTCTGGGCACCATTAACTTAAAGAGGTATGATATGCTTCTTTGGGATTTGAGGAACAGAGTTAAGAAGTCTGTCTAGTTTAGAGGTCCTCTCCCCTAACAAGTGACTTTTGATTAACAGGTTCTGGAGCAAAAGCACAAACTCAAAGACAGCCAAGCCAAAGGCCTAAGGCCCCTACTCACTGGGCTGTAGCACTGGCCACCCCTGCCTAGCTATCGACAGCTTGTGCCCTGCCTGGCTCATATCCCCGCCTTACCTCCACTGTTGTCTCGTCACAGTGCTGTCCTAAATCTGGGGAGCTGAGAGGAGAGGCATGCTCCTTCCCCACCCAATGCAGGTTACACGGGGCCAGAGCTGGTGAGGGTTAAGTGTTAGCCAAACTTCTCAGACTTCTGTCAACAGTGAGTCCTGCCCATAGGTTTGCCCACTGCATCCACACACAAATCAGACAGGTCAGGAGGGCCACTGCAGTCTCAGGTCTCAGGAAGTACAAGGCCTGCCCCAGAGCCTGAGGTTGTATACATCACCTCTGTTCCCCATGTGGAGCTGTTATGCCATCTGCCATCCAACGTGGGACAACTGGCCTGTACAGTTCTCTTTCAGGTTTATCATCTCCTACTTATCTTGTCTGGCAAATTAGAAGCCTCTCCCATGGCTTGAGGACAGAGCCACCTGAGTGGCCATAGGCTCCAACCCACCCCAGAGGGCTGTCATTCATATATATATGAATGACACACACACACACTATCCTAGTTTCTTCCCATCTCTAGTCATTTCTACATCTGACTAGACACCAGAGTGAGGGCCATGACCGTCTGGGCTCAAAATCAGGCTCCACTACTTACTTCTGTCTGATCCTGACCAAGTAACTTCAACTCTAGGCTCTGGGAGCTTCCTTTGGAAGTACATGTGAATATGTGCCTAGTACCCCGAATAGGAAATGGCTGTGGCAATGACTATTCCATCAAACTAGTAGATGCAAGATGGGAACCTCTAGAATTGCTAGGCTTAGAGGTTGGATCCTGCAGGACCACCAGGGTGCACCTACCTGCCTTAGCTTGCAGCAGGTGGAGGGCAGGTCCAGTGGGGGCATTGCTCTGCCAGCATGAAACACACTGGGCACAGGCACTGGCTGTGGACCTCTCTAGGAGCCCTACAGGATCCGTCTTCTCTCAACTACCGACTTGAAAGTCTAGCACTGAGCTCACAGAAAGCTTCTGAAGATGGAGTGATGAGACAAAAAAGTACAGGGGCCACACCATGACACTGGTGTGGTGAGCAGAGGGTGTGTACCTCCCTCAGTGTGTGTGGGCTCTCCTCACTGTTTCACCCAAGCGCCTGGAAACCATCCCTTGAATTCACCATCCTGAGCCACAGTGTTGCTGAGGACCAGGCCACAGAGAACGTGGCAGAGCCCACTCAGGCTCAGAGAACCACTTGGCCACGTTTCTCGTCATGTGTGGATGGCATCAGTGCCTACATGTGGAATACATGTCACTCCTCTCTCCATCATGCTTAATTATACAGCTTTCCAACATTTGATTAACAAGGCTTCCATAAGGCGGCAAGATGTCAGCAGTTTTTTAAAGGGGCAGCCAACAGACAAAGATGAAGAGATTTTAAAACAGACAAAGCACAGAGGCTCATGGCATATCTGGTTTTGGGACACGCCCACAGACCTGGCTGTGTTCAAGCTCAGAGAGCTCTTACTAATAATCTAGCCAGGAAGGTTTACTGAGGCCGGTTTCAAATTTGGGATCCCCCTGTCTTAGCCTCCTGAGCTGCTGGGATTATAGGCGTGCACCACTGTGCACTGCTACATCACATTAAAACATGTTTTGATCAACACAGAACTTAGCCAGCAGCTGAGACAGCACCATCCAGGAAGGCCAGTCCAAGAGGCCCAGCTTTTCACCACGCTATCACTGACCTCCTGCTTTTCTCTTCCTTGATAAATCACCTGTAAAATGGGGGAACCTTGCTGAGCAAATGCAACATCTCAACAAGAAGCAGACAGTAGACAGCTGGTAGGAGGCCTGCTTGGGCACACTACACACTCCAGCACTGCTGTGAAGCTGTTTGCTTACCTGAGGATGCAAACGCCAATAACCACAACCAGACACCCTATCTTCGCTTCCAGAAAAGAAAAACCAAGGAGTGCCTTGCAAAGAACCAGCATCTCTGAGCCCTACCATGTCAGATGCACAGTCACTCGGGGAGTAAGCATGGGGTCCCAGACCTACTCTCCTGTCACAATGTGTTCTTGACTTCTGTCAAAATTTGTAAAAATGCCACAAGTACAAAGGCCTGCAGGCTGCTCCCAAGGAGACGACTGGCATAAGGCACTCCCAGAACCTCCTGCCATGGCTGCCCTCAGACAGGCACAAAGTGAGGCAATGAACCAAGGTCAAGCCAGGGAGGACATCAACCAGGACATGTTGCCCAGTTCTTCAGGGCATAATGCTAACAGGGGCTAAGAAATCCCCAATAAGAAAGAACAAAGAAAAGAGGAATGACATAGCAACAGCCACCACCACCAGGAAGGATGACTCCAGAAGTGCAGGGCAACTCTGAGCCCCGTGCTTACAAAAATTCCACATTAAGATGTGAAACTACTGGTTCCCCTCTGCTGGGGGACTAGAGAACATACACAAACAAAGTAACCAAGAGGCCCAGTGTGTTGCTCCAGCCTGAGGCCTGAGACTGTGAGCCTGGAAAGCAATGTTGCTATGTGCCAAGGACACATACTACAGGAACATTTGCCAGGGGCCTGGATGCACCTGGCCATCAGCATAGTGCTATTTCCCAAGCACATCTCACTGGCATTCATGCCACGTGGAAATGCAGGACAGAAAGGGCCCTCACCCCAAATCAAGTGTTCCCACCATGGGGAAAGCCCCACTGGGTTGCAGGATGCTTCTTGCTCGCTGCATAAATGCCCACTGCCTGTGCAAAGATGGCGTGCTGCCTTGCTTCCCTCACTTCCATAATTAAGGTCAAAAGCTACTCAGGAATGTCCCAATGCTGTGCTGGATGGAAAGTACTCCACCTACTCCCCATCAGGGGCCTGGGCCATTTCAATCAAAGACTATCTTAGGCTGTAAAATAACTGCCAAACAACCATACCAATGGCTACCACTCACAATGACTTTTCTGGGTGTGATTCAAGATTTCTTATTCTGTGCAAATTGAAAAATGAAAGCTCTTTGCTGCTCACTGGAAAGTGCTAATTTGAAATATGAGTTCATCTAAACAGCTTTACCATTTTTCATTAAGTAAATCTCTTTTAAAAATTTATTAATAAAGAATACATTTTAAATTTTAATATGAACCTTAAGTGCTAAAAATGTCCCTTCCCAATAAAAATACTTGAATAAACAGCCATGGCAAAGAATACTGAAATCCAAAGCTATACTACAGGCAATGAGCACTAGCCCCTGTTCTGCTGCTATGATGGTGCATGACTGACTATAGCCGTCCTAAGGCAGAACTGGATGTGCAGGCAAGAACTGAAACCACTCGCACTGGAGGCTGGGGTGGAAGAGGCAACACTGTTGTCTACCAGCAAGCTCATGACCCTACCTGAATCTGTGCTGCCATGTGAGCCAAACTGGAAGTGAACACAGTGGTGCCAAGCGGCCAGACTCAACAACATCACACACAGCAATGCCACAAGTGCCAGCAGCAACCACTTGGAAAGGTAATAAAAAAGAAGCTGGGGGGCTGGGGATGTGGCTCAAGCGGTAGCGCGCTCGCCTGGCATGCGTGTGGCCCGGGTTCGATCCTCAGCACCACATACAAACAAAGATGTTGTGTCCGCCGAAAACTAAAAAATAAATATTAAAAAATCCTCTCTCTCTTAAAAAATAAATAAATAAATAAAAATTTCAAAATAAAGGTAATTGTTATTTTGTATACAACCAGAGATATGAAAAACTGTGCTCTATATATGTAATATAAATTGTAATGCATTCTGCTAAAAATAAATAAATAAAGGAACTAAAAGAAATTAAAAACAAAAAAGAAAGTAGGATCTGCTCTTTCCCTGACAATGCAGGACTTACCCACCACACTCAGCATTCTCAAGCAGACAGGTACAAAGTGATGAGTGTACTTACAGGCGGCTTATCAGCCCCACGGTGCTGGCACAACTGAGACAAGCACGATGCCGGTGCCCCAGACTACCTATGACAAAAACAAGGAAGAAGTAAGTGAACAGGTCCCAACCAGGCATCTGTGAAAGTCTGAGAGTAGAAACCCATTAAGTTTCTGGAAGCCTGGCTTCCGAGCATAGCTAAGTGAAAAGTCTCTCCAGTTAGGAAACAGGGTCTTAGGGCAGCCCTGAGGAGAAAGCCAAGCAGGCCAAGCCCTAGAGAAAGGCCACTGGGTCCCCGGCTTAGGACCTATAGTTCCCGCCTGTTGGGAACTCCTCCCTGCTAGCCTTGGCTGGCTTTGATGGTCAGGGGCCAAGGTGTACATGACCCCCAATGCACAGGCAGCCCTACAGATCAAGCAACAACCCCAGGGTGACAAGGGCTGAAGATTATAGGAAAAACCAACACCAAAAGGAAGCCGTTTCTTGGATAACAGCTGTGATGAGCGAGCATACAGGTCGTTTTTAGGGTTCAGACATGTTCTGATGCTTTCCCTACCTCACTCTAGTTCCCATAAGCATGTCAGAGGTCACTCACAGCACCATGAGGGTGGTGCCATCAAACTGCATGCAGGGGACAAGACAGTTGTGGGTGCAGTAGATCCAGGGGCAACAACCCCAGAAGGGCCAGCTCAGCCTGTGCAGAGGCTAGGCATGCAAGAAGCCAATAGGACTGAAGGGTGGCACTGTGAAATGCCATCTGGCCCAATCCTCCAGGCAGTGGGAGTGGCAGTAAGGACATCCACTTGTCATTTTATGTCATTACCAGGAGGCAAAACTCATGCTTCTATGGGAAGGGTATCTAATACCACCAAATGTCACATTTAGGACCTTAACCAGACTGGGGACAGTCTGGTTAGTAAGTTGGGAGCTGGGGATGTTGTTCAATGGTAGAGTACTTGCCTAGTAAGTTGGAGCTGGGCTCACAAGTGTTTAGTCAGCACAATTCATAATGTAAAAGATATTAGCTACATTCTTACATGCATCAAGCCCTACAAGTTAAATGTAAAAGTACAGGGTCATGAGCACATCTTCACAGCCCCTTCCTCTGTTAAGGTGCTGCACTTCCTCCCTGCCTGGCCACTCCCGTCCCACCAGGATTTGGCTCAGAATTCCCCACCCACCTAGCCCCAAGCCCATAGCCTAGGCAATGCTGTTTTAAGAGTTCCAGTCCCCACTTCCCCTGCCCTACCCAAACCCACTCTGAGGGCTATTCCAACTCTCCACAGAAACCCCTAGGGGAAAGGTCACCCAGGATGCCAGGGCTCAGGAGCCCATGACCCTCAGCAAGGGTGTCCAGGCTGCCTACACTTTTGCCCACTACAAATGTGGGTCCCACAGCCCCCTCAGTTTTGGTAATTTGCACAGAACCCAGCTAAGTGCTTCGGTCACTGTGACAGTGCATCACAAATGAGCGGCTAGAGGAAGAGGCATAGAGGGTCCTAAGCACATCAGGCTCCTTCACAGCCTCATTAAACAGGCACAACTGGACTACACCAATCTCCATATCCTTCCCTTCCCTGGAGACTGAGGCTAAAATTCCAACCCTCCAATCTCAGCCTGGCCAGCCCCACCTGCACTTTATACTTTGATCCAAGAAGGGACTTGTGAATAACAAAGCCACTACAGTCACACCCAGAAAATCCTGTCACTCCAAGAGCTTTAGGAGTTCAGTAACCAAGATCAGGCACAGACACCAAATATACATTTTTACTATACCACACCTTACTTCTCCTGGCCTCCAGAAGAATAAGCTCCCATGACAGGATCCTGACCTCCTCCTCTTCAGAGGTTTCCCAGGGTCTCCTGGGACCTGCACTTTGAAGAGCACCAAGAACTCCTCCTGACCCCTCAGCCTACTCCTCCATGGTCCTCCTGGGTTTAAACAACAGCACTGTGGGGCCTTGAGGCTGGATACTTCTCTCGTACTAATCCTTCAGATGGACTTCAAACACAGCAACTTTCTCCCAAAGAAAGCATGGAAAGGGGAAGGAGAGTACCAGACAAGCTCACCTTGGCCTGGGGATGAAGGTCAATATCAACAGTGATAATGAACAATGATAAATCATCTTGACAGTACAGAGGCTAGATAGGATGTGATGAGAACCACTTCATCTCTGTGCCCTACTCCTTCAAACACATTATCCTCAGTTTAAGTATGGGAAAAACATTTTTAAAAAATTGATGAGAGAAGCATTCTACAATATATCTAACCAGTACTCCTCAAAACTGTCAGGATGGGCTGGGGTTGTGGCTCAGTGGTGGAGCACTTGCCTAGCACATATGAGGCCCTGAGTTCGACCCTCAGCACCACATAAAAATAAAGGTACTGTGTCCATCTACAATTTAAAAAAAAACAAAACTATCAAGGTCATGGAAAACAAGGGATGCCTAAGAAAGTGTCACAATCTAAAGAGCCCTGACTAAATGAATGTGTCCTGAATGCGTCCAGGAGCAGAGAGAATATCAGGATAAAATATGTACAGAATAAAGAAAAAGTACATTATAGTATGTGCTGAATAAAGCATGGAAAAGAATAAAAATAATCTTAATACAGTATTGGCCTTAGCTCATTAGTTGTGACAGTGAACCACACTAACCAGGGATCTTAATAATGGCCTGTACTACTTCCAGGGGAATGTCACTTCAGGGCATTCAGGAACAGGCTTCCCACAGCCCAGCCCTGAGTCCCATTGGCTCTGAATTCCCTTGTTGGTTCTGCAGCGAACCATCTGCCTGCAGTGCAGTGTACAATACTAAAGAACATGTTCTTAATAAATAAAGAAAAATAACTAAATATTTATTCCAAAACAAAAACATTCTGTTCTGGAATAAAAGCACAACAAAACGAAAAAGAAAAAAAAAAAAAAAAAGAAAGAAATCATCTAATTTTTAAGCCATAAACATGCTATAGAAATGCGAAGAGGCAGAAGTACTTCATCAGCATCCTGAACACATCAACAGGTACAGACAACTCTGACAGCAGAGGCGGCGGGAACTGGGCAGCTCCTGCGGTCCTCCCCACCCGCTCTCGTTGCTAAAAATGACAAGAACCGTGCCTGTCCTGGTGCACTTGTAATCCATAAAGCGTCCAGAACTGCATTTTCCCGGGTGTCTCACCCTCACTGGGTGACTTTTACCTTTATGGCAACCTTACAAACAGGACACAAACGCGGAAGGCCGCTGAAGAGCGGGAGCACGGGCCGCTGCCCGCAGCCAGCCCGCGCCCCACCCGGGCAATGGCGGGCGGGCGGGTGGTGCCCGGGCCTGCGGGCTGCGGGCTGCTGACTCCGCGACCAGAGCGTGGCCACAGGGCACGCCGGTCCTCGAGAGTGGACGCCGCGCTTCCCCGCGGAGGGGGCACGGACACTTTTCCACGCCCCCTCGGGGACAGTGACCTGGAGCGACCCGGGCGACTAAGGTCAGAACGCCGCCGGGCGCCCCGCGGGCCGCACGCGGCGGGGAGGCGCCCGCGCGGCCAGACCCGCGCACGCGGCACCCGGAGCCAAGCAGAGCCCCCGAGATCCCGCGCCTCGGCCCGGCCCGGGTACTTACCCCGCGGGGCTGCGGCGCGGGGCGGCGGGAGGCGAGCTGGGCCCCGGCCGCGACAGCTTCTCAGCAAGATGGACGCCATGTGCCGGCCGAGACGGCCTCCTGCGGCAGCCACTTCCTCCTCCTCGGCGGCCGCGGCTCCTCACCGTCCCGGCAGCGCCTGGGCCCGGCCCGCACGGACAGCCGACGGGGGCAGTTGGCAACTATCAGCGGGCTATCAACTCAAGGACCTAGCACCGGCAGCCGCCATGTCCCGGCACAGACGTCGGGCGGGCGGGGCGGGGCGGGGCGACGGGCCGCCGCTCCCATAGGCCCCGCGGACGCCGGACGCCGGACGCCGGCCAGGTGAGAGGCGGCCCTGAGCCGCTGACTACCGGCCCCGGCGTGCACCGCGGCGGCCCGCCCATTCCACCTTCGGACTGCAGATCCCGGCAAGCACCGCGCGCCGCGGGCACAGGGCATTCTGGTTCTCGTGGTCCCGCGGGACTCCCCGGCGAGCAGTCTGCGCACGCGCAGTGGCTCTTTTGCGGCGGCATCCGCCAGCAAGCCGGTATTTTAGCTGCCAGCCAGCTCGTCGCTGTACGTCGCGTACGGCTTTTGGGACGCTGGGGAAGCGCTCGCTAGCGCCGTGAGCCCTCCAGGGGCAGGGAGCGGGACTGAGGCCATCCTTTTCTGTGGAGCGCCCAGGCCTCCCTCAGCCGGCTGCCCTCCCCACACCCCGCGCTGCTGGGTGCCCGGGGCGCCGCCGAGGAGGACAGCGCGGGCGTCCTCTCCGCGGGAAGCGCACCCAACACAGTCACCCCTGCCCCGCGGGCCAGGGCCTCCGAGGGGTGGCGGCACCGCCAGGTTCCCTGCCGGTCACCCCTCCCTGTCTGCAAGGGAAAAGCCAAGCGCCTGGCTAGGCCTTCCAGTATCCCACCCAGAGCAGCTCGGGGCCCCCACGCCCGGTACCAGCACCGCTGACTGCTCCAGCGCGCGCGGGCTGGCAAAAGCTTCCTCCCGCCTAGCCTGCAGCCGGCCTCCAGCTCCAGAAGACAGTGACCTCAGCCCCACCGTCCCCTCCTGTCCTTAAGTTGGGGGTGGATGGAGTGAAGCAGGCTGAGAAAAGGTGGGGACCCGCGGGATGTAGGCCTTGGCCACTTTGGCCCTCCCCAGTAGGCCCCTTCTAACAGGCCTGCACCCCAATCCAGGGACACCAGGCGCTTCCTTGGGATTTCCCTCACTCTGACCACTTCCCCCGGCCTTTGCTCTCAGGCTCCCTGCAGAAGGCCTTACCCACCCTTTCCCTGCCCTCTCCATCTTTTTTTTTTTTTTTTTAAAGAGAGAATTAATATTTATTTTTTAGTTTTCGGGGGACACAGAATCTTTATTTTATTTATTTTTTTTTGAGAATTTTAATATCTATTTTTTAGATTTCGGCAGACACAACATCTTTTTTTATATGTGGTGCTGAGGATCGAACCCAGGCCGCACGCGCTGGAGCGTGCTACCGCTTGAGCCACATCCCCAGCCCCTTTATTTTATTTTTATGTGGTGCTGAGGATCCAACCCAGCACATGCCAGGTGAGCGCGCTATCGCTTGAGCCACAGCCCAGCCCCTGCCCTCTCCATCTTGTTCATGTGTATAAATTTAGGGCATGGTCCCTCTCTCTCTGCACTCTGGGTGTACAAGTGAGGAACTCCTGATCCCAGCCAGCTTCCTAGTCTTTGAGATGTTATTTGAAGCTCCCTCCCCTTCACCCACCTCTCCCAGCACAGCTCACTGGGAAAAAGGAGCCACCCTAGTCCTTTTCCCTTTAAGAGATGGCCCTGCGAGGGCCTGGAAGTCCCATCTCCCCAGGGAGGAGATGGTACTATTTATTTCAGGGCACTTTGAGGATGGTCATACTAAGTGTACCCATTTCAGTTTATAAAAATATAAACAGGCTGAGGCTGTGGCTTAGTGACAGGGCACTTGCCTAGAATGTGTGAGGCACTGGATTCAATCCTTAGCACCACATACAAAAGTAAAAAAGTATGCTATCCATCTATAACTACAAGAGAAAAAAATTTAAATATAAAGAAGTTGTTTTTTTTTTTTTTTTTGGTACAGGTATTGAACCCAGGGGCACTTAACCACTGAGCCACATCCCCAGTCCCTTTTTGTATTTTACTAGGGTCAGGGTCCTGCTGAATTGCTTAGGGCCTTGCTAAGTTACTGAGGCTGGCTTTGAACCTGTGATTCTCCTGCCTCAGCCTGTAAACCCCTAGGATTACAGGCATGTGCCACTGCACCTGGCTGCATTGTACACTCTTAACACTCGTGAAGCCATGAAGGATGACCCTGACATGGTAGTCCAAGCTCAGAACCCTGCCCAGTCATTTGTTTTAGCACCATGGACTTTTTGTGTTTGTGTGTGAGCGCTGAGAATTGAACCCAGGGGTGCTTTACCATTGAGCTACATCCCAAACCTTTTTTTCAGACTGGGTCTCACCAAGTTCCTGAGGGCTTCATTAATTGTTGAGACTGACCTGGAATCTGACGGTTCTCCTGCCTCAGCCTCCAGAGTTGCTGGGATCACAGGCTGAGCACCAGCTCACCTAACTTGATACCAAGGACTCTCCCACACTGTATGTGTCCTCCCAATGTTCCATGACCCTCGCTTAGTGTTTACACTGAGAAATCTGGTGGGATGTCCAGGGTAACACAGGCCCACTTAGGAAGGCATTAGGGAAGGGGCTCGGCATTTGGCTGGGGGATTTAGAATCAGGGTGCCACAGGAAGACAGCAGGGAAGGGCTGGGTGTGCTATCTTCAGGCCACACTTGGCTTCTTTTGTGTTTTGTTTTTGTAATTGTTTTTGGTTTTTGGTGCTGGAGCTCCACATTCCAGGCAAGTACTGTACTCCTGAACCATATCTCCAGTCCCTACACTTGGGTTCAGGGCAGGTAGAATTGGATTTGCCTCTATTGAGTTTGTTTTGTGGTACTAGGAGTGAACCCAGGGGTTCTCTAACACTGACCTATACCCCCAGTCATTTTTATTTTATTGGTATCAGGATTGAACCCAATAGCATTTAACCACTAAGCAACATCCCCAGCCTTTTAAAATTTTTTTTTTTTTTTTTTTTTTTTTGGTACCAGGGGTTGAACTCAGGGGCACTCAACCACGGAGCCACATCGCCAGCCTTATTTATTTATTTATTTAATTTTATTTAGAGACAGGGTCTCACTGAGTTGCCTAACGTCTCACCACTGCTGAGGCTGGCTTTGAACTCACTATTCTCCTGTCTCAGCCTCCTGAGCTGCTGGGATTACAAGCATGTACCATCACACCCAGCTCTTTTTAATTTTTATTTTGAGACAGGGTCTCATTAAGTTGCTTAGGGCCTTGTTAAGTTGCAGAGGCTGGATTTGAACTTGTGATTCTCCTGCCACAGCCACTTGAGCCGCTGGAATTACAGTCATGCACCACTCCACTCAGCTTATTTGTTTTGAGCAAGGTCTCTAAATTGCTGAGGGTCTCACTGAGTGGCCCAGGCTGGCCTTGAATGTGGAATCGTCCTGCTTCAGCCTCCTAAATAACTGGGATTACAGGTGTGCACCACCATGCCTGACTCCCTAGTGGGGTTTTCCCAGGAAGTGTGATAAAGGGAGAGAGGATCAGTGGAGTCAAGGGTATATGCAAGAGAGAGGCTGTAAGCCTTGTCTGAGAGACTTAAACTTGGGAAGGGAAGGACAGGAGGGCACAGTGAAAGGTGGCATGATCACTGGCCTGTGGGCTGAAAGGGGATTTGGAGCCAGGTACCAAAGTGAGTGAGCTGAGGAAAGGGATACTTACCACTGAGTGGTGGATGGCTGCAGCTTACTGGTGCAGGCTGCAACTAGAAGCCCCGACCCTCCAGGAGAAGAGCCTAAGGCAGGATGAAGAGCCAGGTTGCCCTTCTCCAGGTACATGCAGTTGAAGGAAGCAGAGAGCTATCTCCAGCCCCTTCTTGTGCCATTGGAATGACCTCCATACAGCGGTGTCTCCAGATTAGGGTGTGCATGGGATGGAGGTCCAGCCTGCTTCCTCTCACAGACACACCTCCTATCCTTCAACTAACACAATCCTGGATTGATGGAAACAGCTCGGCTAAAACACTGTTCTCACCAGCCTCCTTTGAAATTAAATCCAGGACTTGGGATAAAGGTCTTTGAAGGGAGGGTGATCCATTTGATGTCTCTGCTTCTTCCTGCCTATGTACCATTGTGAGAAGAAAGGAGCCTGGACTTTCTGCCTTGGGCTCACTCGTACCTAAGAGTGAAAGCATACTTCAGCCAGTTATCTGGAATGTCTTTGCACATAAAGCTGGACTTATCCCTAACAAATTGAAGGACAGATTCCTAGAATTTGGATCACTGGATCACAGCAAATGTGAATGTCTATTTTGTAAACTTTCAAAGTGTAACACACATGAAATGTCAAAGTCCTAAATAAAGCATTTTCCCATCATATACATACCCAGGCTATCTGTGCTTGATCCAGGTGGAAGGCTGCCACTCTCCAGAAGCCTCAAGTACCCTCTGACCTCACATTCTCTCAAAAGTAAACTCTGACTATTGCTACCAGCAAATATCACTTTTGGCTTTTTAATTTTTTTTCCTTATATAAATGGAATCAGTGTAGAGTTTTTTATTTATTTATTTTTATATTAGTAATGTATGGATCCTATGGGCATTTAGCCAATGAGCCACATCCCCAGCCTATTTCTTATTGTGGCGCAGTGCCGCAGTCTGGCTGGGCACAATCAGGAGCCACTTGTCAAAAGAAACTAACTTTATTTTTAGAACCACACACGCCAAACAAAACAGCCTCTCAGGAAAAACCCTCAGAGCCTCAACTGCCACCACCGGCTTTCCACAAGCCTCTCTCTCCCACCACAAGCTTCTTTTCACCTCCCCCAATCCTCCTGCTCTTGAGGCCGATTGGCTGGGTCACGTGGGCGGAGCCAAAAAAGTCCCCCAATGAGCAGCTCCGTGGTCTGAAAGGGCAGGGAAACAGTCCAATGAGCATCACTGCAGAGGAGCCAATCAGCTAGATGTTGCTGGGGCCGCTGTGAGCCAATCATCAGCCGGCAGCTGGAAGTTTGCTGGGGCCCCTTCAGCTGTGGCTCTCAACAGCGCAGGGTCTCACTAATTTGCTTAGGACCTTGTTTAGTTGCTAAGCCTGGCTTTGAACACATGATCCTCCTGCTTTAGTCTCTCATGTCACTGGGATTACAGACATGCACCACTGTGC